AAAATATCAAAATTTATTATTTCTCCTATATTTATTATTTAATATTTTCACGGCATTCTATATATATTTTTCATTATCATGTTTTTTATTTTTTACTAAACTATATATATTTATATGATTTTTCTTTCCTTTTAATTTATCAATTTATTACAATCAGAATTTTTTTATTATTTAATAATTAATATATATTGTAGATTACTATGATTTTTATTTAATACATTTTTAAACAACCAATTATAAATAATAACAATTATATTATATAATTTCTAATACAATTTATCTAAAATTTTATTTGTTATAAGATACAGAAATTAATTTTTAAAATATTTAAAAACAAAAAATAAATTGTGCACCTCTGCTGCTCTAATATGAATTTCAACCCTATTCTTCATAGCTCTACCTACTCACCGAGAAAGTCTTCACCTGCACCACAATCTTAATGTTACATGCATACAATTTCATATTTAAAACCTAAAATATATTCGATCTAATATTTTTTTTTACCTTATAATAATTTCTTCCTCAAAAATCTGAATACTAGAAGCCAACAAATGTGCCTATGCTTTGTTTTTTTTTTTTTTTCGGCAGTCTGAAACTTCTGCAATGTGAGACGGTAACGGAGAATAAGAAAGGAGGGGAGAAAGGAAGATGAAGCCGCGCCCTAAACAGTCAAATTCCTATGCCACATGGACCAATCATATTTGTGTCGTCCCAGACCCAGACGAAGCCGCACCTTAAACAGTCAAATTCCTATGCCACATGGACCAATCATATTTTTTACTCTCCCCTTTTTTTCTCTTTTTTGATTTCCACGAGAGATTTGTTGCCACTTCTCTAAAATTTTTTGAAAACTCGGTCTCTTCTCTAAAAATTTTTTGCTTTCCTTCTCCAAAAAGAACCCTCTTTTTCAGATTTCTTACTTGGATTTTTATACCTCTCTTCAATCTCACATTTTAGGGTTTCATAAAATGTCAAATTTTTCAGCTTTTTCTTCTTTCATGTATAAAGTCAGTTTTGATATTGGGGTGTAAGCCTGCATGATGCAAGGCCTTTGTTTCCAGGAACCAGTCTCTCTTTTTTTTTTCAAATTTTTTTATTTTTCTGTAAAATAATTTTATTTTATTTATATTTTTTATAAAAAAAATTGGAGGCAATTCCTGGAAGGCAAAAATTGGTATTCACAATTATTTGAGTTGTTGAATTTGAGAAGTAGGTTTGCATATTATTTAGGAAGGAAAAATCAAGTGATGCATGTGATATTCAAGTAGAATAAGACAAAATTGAACAATATCTCTTAGTTTAAGTATCTCTTTTAGCCTTTTATTCTTAAATTTCAACCATGATGATTAAATCTATCAAACTTATCAGAAACACAAAGAAAATACTCGAACTAGCTTCAAAATCATAGATGAAAAGTAGTGTGTTTGAGAAAATGGGGTTGAATTTCATATAAATGTAAAGAATACTCACATTCTAATCTTCAAAAATATTTTAAAAGACCTGTTTTAAATATCTAATATTTTAATATCCATAACCTATAAAATGTTTAAAAAATTAAACAATAATACACTAACTCACGTTAGTCATCATCCATATTTTATATATCTATCTATTTATTTATGTCAACAAGCAAAATTTCTTTGTTTAAAATCATTCAGTATATTTTATTTTCTTGATTTACTTCATATATTTTATTTTCTTCAAGTAATTCAAAGAAGTGTGTTTACAATTTAGTGTTTATTAAAAGATATATTGTAATATTATTTTTTCATTATTTTCATTTAATTATAAATATTGTTAAGTTATTTATAAGAATCAATGTTTCTAATGCTTGATTATATTTTAATTAATAGTATCTTGATTTAAGATTTAAGGTTAAGTTGGAAAGCAATCTTTAGATCCATATTGAGTAAAATTTACTTAGTGTATTGCGACATTAGAAATGAATTTCAATATATCGATTGCTCTCTAAGGGCAATATATTGGTTTATGATTTCATAGGATTTTAAATAACTTTTTTTAAGAAAAAAATTTTGTTGGTATTCAATTAAGATTTTATGTCACTTAAAAAAAATAATCAAGTGGTATTCAATATGTATTTTCAAGATATTTTAAAGAGTCAATTAAAATTCATTAGTATTCATTTGAGACTTTTTAATTACAACTTAAAAACAATCTATTGGTATTAAAAAAATATAAGAATTTTAAAGGATTGTTGTATTAGAGGGATTTTGAAAAACTTTTAAGTAGTATCTATAAATACCAAATTCATAAAACAATTTTATCCAAATCTATCAAATTTTGTAGGATTGTTTGAAATAACTTTCCAAGTGCTTCAAGAATTTTCAGTGAGTTTTTCATCTCTTTTTTTTTTCTATGCTCTTGTCTTCTTCATTTTTTTTCTCTATTGTACTACTGCTCATATATAATATTATACTAATGTTCCTATTCCATTTCCGTGTAATGACAGTACCATTGACTTGTTCTATTTAGTTAAGTTTATTTCTCAGATATATAACGCATAAAACGCTTGAAATTTTAACTTTTAAGTAGTAATTTTTTTATAACACGCATAAAAAAAAGAGAAAGGTGAAAGCTAAAATTGATATCATAATACAATCAACTGTAGATCTTCAAATAGTTAACTAGCACTTTTAACTGTTGAGTTTGAGATATTTATCTATATCATATAATAGTTTTTTAATTGAATAAATAGATGTTTAAATATTTAAAATAGAGAAATAATAATATATAACCTATATGTGTGTGTATATATATATATATATAGTAGTTACGCCTTTTACGGGACTATAGTATTGTTTTTAATTATATAGGTACCTATTATGTGAGATATAAATTTAATAAGTATTCTTATTCATAATTATTTATATAATTTATTAATTCAAATGGGAGATTCACAAGGAAATAATAAAGGAAAAGAAAAAGAAAAAGAAAACTATGAAGCTTGAACAAGAAAGATTCTGATGAATTGTTATAACTGATAGTGGATGCTATAAAAAGTTGATTGGTTTATAAATATTAATTAATTTTTATTAAAACCTTGTCTTATTTTCCTTTAGTCTATTGTTTTATGATTTTGTATAAGAATTAAAGAATATATTTAATATTTATGTTTTTATTTAAAAGAGATTAATTTATATATTATTAGTTAAGCAGAATATATTGTAATTAAAATTTTTAAATTAAGTATTAAAAAATTAATAATTTCTATTAATATGACAATTTATGATTAAATAAAAATGTAAATGTTTTTTACATTACTAGAGTATTTAAAAATATTTTTTTATTATATTTATCATCTAATTTTTTGTTATATATTTTATCTTTCTTTTTAACTTTTTTTTTAATTTTAAGTTAAGAGTATAATTGCTGAAAAAATATTGCTAACTTAAACTTTTAGAAGTGATAAAAAAAAGCATATATATATATACATTTTAAAAAAAGTGAAAGGTGCAAAGAAACGAAAAGAAAACTTAAAAATGAATTCTTCATTGTTATTTTATTAATTTAATATGAATAAGTATTGTTGGTGTAGAAAAATTATTGGATACTAATTTTAATTTCATTATTGAATGGAAATTGAAGAGCATATATTGCGCGAGGGGCTGAGCTTGAGAGTTAATTACATTATGGATTATTATAAAAAAAATATTTATCACATATTTATATCTTTAATGAAAATATACTATTTATATGCTTAAACAATGCATATCAAATATGTGGCACCACTTATTTGAAAATTAGTAAATGATTATTAAAACGAGAATCAGTATTGTGATAATATCTTATTGATGATTAATAGTATATGATGTCATCCAAATAGCAAATTAAAATGCAAATTGTGTTATGATATATAGTCTCCTTCCACGCCAAAAAAGCACTCGTTCTCATTCATTGAATTCAAAGTTTCAAACCTCTACCCATAACTATGCCTTTAAGTTACCCATATTAGTCTCCTTCAACGTTTATGATAGATACATCGATCATTATAAAAATGTCAGTTGGAAAATGACGGTTCCCCACCCACAGCCAAACAAGACTCTTCATTGACCTTGATTATACCCCACTGTGGTGAAGTGGACTTCACTTTCAGAAGTAGCGACTAACAGTAATAATTAACCTTCAATTATCTGATTTGGGTATTGTCTTATTCATAAATAACAGCATGTAATCGTGTTTAGAATCGTACGTACTTCTATTTATATGAAGTCTCGTTATAATTAATTATATTATTTACTATTTATGTATTAAAAGAAATTTCTCTTTAATGTGTTCATTTTTTAAGAAGTATGTTCTCTCGTTAAAAAAAAAAAAAAACACTTGGCACTGTGAACTATCCTACTTTTTTTATATAACCGTTTATTTTTAAAATCCCACTTTAAATAAAAAATACTAATTTTAGTTCTCAATAATAATAATATTTTTTATTAAAAAATATATTTATCATATAAAATCATGAAAACTATTATATTTTAAAAAAATTAATTTTTCTAACATTTAAAATTTAAGTTTAGAATTAAATCCAATAAATTCTTTACAATAAAAACAATATTAATAAAATACAATGAAGAGATAAGATCTTACGTAATGGTGAAGTCAATACACATATCCGTTCCCTGTAATCCAAGGAAAAGTTGTCGGACTTTTCAACGTGGTAGCGAAATATGAAAATAGTTTTGTTGGAAATATTATATATTAGATGGTTTTTTTAACTTATGTTTAAAGATTTATAATATAAAATTAATAAATGATAAATTTTTTATTAGAATTAGAGATATTTTATATTATGAATATATTAAATATGTCAATATTATATATAATTCAAGTTAAGATCTTTCATATAATTAAAACTAAAAAATTCATATAAAAGGGGTCAGAAAAATGGTAAATGTCACAATCCCCAGAGGTCAAAAAGAAAACACTGTGATCGATGGGGATCTCCGATCATAAGATCGGAAGTTCATTGATTGACCATTGATTGTACACACAGAAAAACACAACCCAACTCAACTTTTATTGATTATCAAAAACGAAGTTTTTAAAAAACTTCATCTTTTAGTAGGGCGATGGAAGGCCTTATTTTGTATTCAATACTGGTTGTGGGTAGTAGCAGGCATGAGAAGGGGCACATGAGGTTCTCCCAGTGGACAGAAGACAACCCTATAGTTAGAGCCAGCAGGGCAAGTGAAAGTGCTCGTTGGGTCATCCTGAGGGTAGCTATAAGCATCATGGCACCTATCTTTGAAAAACTTTGAGTAGTCAGTGGGCCCACAGCTCCCAGGTCCATCGGTGCAGCAATACTGATTGGTCTTAAACACAGTACAAGGATTATTACACCCACCCGAGGCTCGCAAAACGCCCGGACACTGTCCATTAATATCAGCTGTGCAACTAATTTTGTGACAGCCACCGTTCAGAGGGTAAAAGTCCATAGGAATGTTGAACCCATCAACAAGAGAAATATCATAGAAATCCTGATTCGCGAATTGGTTCAACGCGAACTCAGCCAGCGTGTTTGGAGGGACACCCCAACCCGTGCATTGGAGTCCACCCGTGCAGTCACCGGTTTGGCAACGCCCGTGACCACTGGCGTCGAAGTTGCAACCGGTGCGACCCCAAATGCGAGCCATCGTGGTGCCTGCTGCAACCCAGAGGTTCCAACTTTGGCCGCGGTCGAGGCGCCGACCACCGCCGGGGCTGGCGGCGGCCCACACCGTGTAAGGGCAGTTGTTGACGATTTCGAAGTTTGCTGCTTGCGTTGTGAGGAAAGAAGCAGTGAGCATGAGGAGGGAGCATAAGCATAGTGTGAGTTTGGATGAGTCACCCATTTTGAATATCATAAGATGGGAAGTTGTGTGCATGAGAGAATGGTATTGGTGCTTCTTATATAGACTATTATGATTTCGATGGATAGGGAGCAATATCACTTTTAAATCTATGAAAATATGTTGGTTGGTTTTCATAATTGGGTCTGGGGCGGCTATTTATCCTAACGGACTTAATCAAATCGTTTAAAATTTGTGTTGACCAAAATAACATCATTTTAATTTATAAATACTCTAAGATTAATAAATTTTTTTATGTTCTATTATTTATTATTTCCTTTTAAATATATAGACTTAAATAAATATCAATAAAGTATTTTCCTCAATGAAGACAATGCCAGAAAAAAGATGTTGTTGTTGATTAAAAGGCTAATAATTAATATTTTGGTTTTTTAAAGAGGTAAGTAAATATATATATCCTTTTAAAAGAAGTGGGTAGCTGGAAATTAAAAATGACAAACAAATAGTCAAGTTGATGATATAAGAAAAACGTCGTACCCCAAATTAAAGATCAACCAATAAGATGGACAATTGCTTCACATGTTAAAATGTTTAATAATAATCTATATGGACATTAGTATTTTATTGTTTGCCAGGTCAAACGTAAGTATAATTCTTGTAATATAATGTTCCAAAAGTCACTATCTGCCTGCTTGGTGTTTAAAATTAAATGCGGAATTAGAGTTTGGAACTAAAATTAGATATATTATAATTATGCTTTAATAATATTATAAAACAATTAATTTGAATTTTAAATTTTTAAGCCTATGCTCTAAAATGATTAATTTTATATTTATAAATTAAAATATTTTCTACTGAAAAACAAAATATGTATCTTTTTTTAATAGTATAACCTTTGTAGTTATATTAATGATATTAACATAAACTAAAAAAATAAATAAATAGATTTCAAACTATGCTTAAATAAAATAATGAATATATATATATATATATATATATTATTTGTAAAACTTATTTATTTAGTTCATTAATAGTATAAGAATTTGATATGTCGAGTAACATTTGGACAGGATATTTATACAATGAGTAAAATAAATGTGTATAGGCACCTATATTCATATTTGTATTTGTCAAATTTAACAGGTATTTATTTATACAGATTCAATTTTATTAAGTGAATATTTATTTATTCATTATGATTTTTTTTTTTGGAGTGCTCAATGATTATAAGATTCATTTCTAATATAAAATTTAAAATCAAAAAGTAATTTTTAACGGAATTTTATTACCATAACAAGATTTTTGACTGTTATATATTTAAAAAATTTACGTAAGATTTATATATAAAAATAATAATTTAATTTTGAAATGTAAATAAATTTAACATGTAATTATAAAAATGCACTCACCAAAAAAAAATATAATAATGTGTGTTGTGGTATCATTTAATATATAAGTTATTAATATAAGAATATGGATGATAACAGAGAAAAACATTTTGTGCTTCAGAAACCAGAATGAATCTTATACAAATTATAATTATTCACATTATCGAAATAATACATGTTTAAATAATTTAATAATTATAAATAGCGCTGCATCGGTGCACCACTTTATTATGTTCATAATTCAGAAAAGATGCATACATACATAGACCTGACAAATGGATAAGAAAAATAACTGAGTTTCCGTTTGTAAATAGAATCTACATACATCAGTACATCCAACCTATCAGACTTTTACAATGAATCATAATCATCAATTGTTAACTGTCATTTACGTAGATCTCATTTATTTTACGAGGACAAGGAGATTGCATACATCCCTAGAGAGATGTGCGCACAAAGCCCAGAAGAACCCATTTATTTTGCAATACACGTATCAAACACAAATAAGAATAACGAAAGAAGAAAAATAAACCAAATACAGATTTGGAAAAAAGAGAAATCAATTAAGGGAAGGGCAAAATTCAACCCTATAGTCGGTTCCTCCTTGGCATGTGAACGTGCTGGTAGCATCATCCATAGGATAACTGTATGCATCTGGGCACTTATCCTTGAAGAATCTTGAATAAGTAGTTGGACCGCATCTAGAAGCACCGGTGCAACAGTATTGAGTGGTATTGAACGCATTGCACGCGCTGTTGCAACCGCCTGGAACCTTAAGCTGCGTGGGGCACTCTTCGTTCATGTCGGTGGCGCATTTAACGGAACTGCAGTTATATGTCGGGCTTATTTGAACGGGAATGTTAAAACCGTCGACGAGTGAGATATCGTAGAAGTCGAGGTTGTTGTATTGGTTCAACGCGAATTCGACCAGTGTGTTTGGGGCTTTACCGTATGATTTGCACTCCAGGACACCCTCACAGTCACCCGTCTGGCACGTGCCGCGTCCAGCGTTGTCGAAAGTGCAGTTTGTTCGACCCCAAATGCGTCCTCCAGTGGTACCGTTCGTCACGTTGAGGCTCCATGATTCGCCGGAGTTAAGCCTTACGCCGCCGCCGGGCATGGCTGCCGCCCACACCGTGTAGTTGCATCGGTTTGTTATGTTGAAAGTCGCTGCTCGTGTTGCAGCGATGCAGCTTATGGCGATGAGAAGGAAGATGGAGAGGGTTTTCGAGGCCATTTTAATTGACGTGTTGCGGTTGGCTGAAGAAAAAGGCACAAGCGTTGGCTTTATATATTATTATTACTGGGTACTCAATATGGATGTGTTGGGGAAGCAATATGGTCCGTTTTTGAAAAATTCATCTGGTGATGTCATACAGTAGATACTTGAAGACAAGTCAAGTATTTTGAAATCTAAATAACGGATTTTGTAGAAAAATGTAGAAGCTTAGCAAAATAAGTCACGTTAATTAAATCGTGGTTTAAGCCGTGATTGTGGAAAGCTGGTAATTTTATAATGAAGGGTTTCGGAAGGAGTTGTGTTGATTAATCTACAATTGTAATGGGAAATTGGAATAAAATTAAGAAAAAATTTGCATCTCACCCGACCAAGAAAGAAGAGAATAAGAAAAGGTCTATGTATCTTCCTCGGCGCAACAACAAATGAACGAGAACAATAATATTCAACCCACTAATTGATGTTGCAAATGGAAATACGCAAATGTGAAATAGCTAGGATATAACGAAAACCATAGCAAACTAGTTTCAACACGTAAGAAGTAACTTACTTCATGTAAGACATACTTAACATAATAATAATAAAATTAAATTAATAGTCTACAAAAAGCGCGTATATCAGTTACACAAGAAAGTTTTGGAGCCCTCTTACATCTGTAAAATAAGAACCACATTGTCATTAAGGCAGAATCCTCATCATTTTATGTGATTATATTAATCTAATTATCAGAAATTTAATAGTCGGGAAATATACTCTCGTAAATTTAATCGTTGAATGATGAGGCAACAAATTTGATATTAACATATCATTTTCACTCTTAATAAATTAATTGGGTAGGACACAGTAAAAACATCTTGAAGTCAAAAGTCACATTTGAATTTTATACAGAGCTGTAGGTTGAAAAACGAATGCTGAATACATGTATAAACTAAATAAAAGTCAATTGTGTAAAACAAGGCCGAAAGTCTTGAAAATGTTATTTTCGATTTTCTCTCATCCTGATCTTCTAGAGTTGGTGAGTTTTGAAGATCGATGGCTCATTTACTTTACTTGCGTGTAAACGAGGGATTAGAAAAGTCCACTTGTTCATATTTATCCCTCAACAGTTCATTAGACAAAAAGGCCTCCTCTAGTACCACTCAGAGAAAGAGGTTTGGGGTTCATGGAATGAGGCCCATAATAAGATAGATGGGTTGTAGCACACCGGCCCGGGCCCATCATTGATTAATCACATGAAAAGGGCAACGCAAGGAAGCCGTTAACTTGGAATAAAAAATAGGCGTCTCTTAGCTTCCAACAGAAGCTGCTTCTGCTGCATACCATGAGGCCGTTAAAACCGCCCAAACCACTTACTCAGGTCGTTTCCAATTCCACGAGTAGTCACTCTGCACTCGCTTTCTCCATCATTTTCCTTCACACTTCTACTTCCAGTAGGTACCGAGAGATATTCCAATTTTCATACTTCTACTGCATTTTAGTGAGTGGTGACACAATTAACACTGTCTTTTCCTTTCCATAATATATTTGCAACAAGCCAGACGAAGGTCTTTGCCACTTGGAAGTTGAATCGTGTTGCTACATTATTATTATTAACCGTTGTCATTGTTCAATGTTCATAACGTGATACGCTATATTGTGTTACAGGATTTGATTTAGAAAGAGAATCATGTTGGAGGTTAAAAAGGAACTTAAGGATTTCAATGCTGATTCACCTCATCTTTCTTCGTCCAAGTGCAATAGCGATACCTCTCTTCCGGAATCAACCCCTGTAACTGGGTAAGCTTCTCCTATCTAAATATAAATTTTCATATTCATTTTCTTCATAAGCAGTATATAATGATTTTTAACTCAGCATATGATATTCCAAATGAAACTATTCATGACCATGGGACAAATAAGACCTGAACTTCCTCAAAGACACTCTAAACATAGCCTGTGCCTTACAAACTTTTTCAATGACCTTGCTAAATTGCTTGTCACATTTTGTTATTTTGATAGGAAAATAAAAGCACAAGCTAGACGCTGGACGGAAGAAGAGGTCTGTCAGTTGAGTTTAACCCTCTCTTCTCTGTTTTCTTTTTCCCCCCTTTTGCGGAATTTGCAATTTTTCTTTAACTCTTTTTGCGTTATCCTTTCTCAGCATCCTTTAATTAGCATGATTATTTGCAGTGATAACGCTTCCTAACTTTGCAATCATGTGACTATGACAAATAGGATAATCTTTTGATTGAAACGGTCAAGAAGCACCACGGAAGGAGCTGGAAGAAAATAGGTGGGTATGGCAGTATTAGTATCAGTTTGAACTATTGCTTTATATTTAATTGTTTCAGGTGCTTCATCAAGAAGTTGCTAGTGCTTACTCTCAACTGAATTTATCTTAAAGGATAAAGCAACGTGTTGACAACACAACTCGGCAACTAATGGCCAGTGTGTACGTCTATAAAAGTTTATAAGATATATAGTTCCTGAGACATTGTTAATGGCATTATTTGTCATTTCTTAATTCATCCATGCAGAAGTCGTTTACACTTTTAGGCTCATTGCTAACTCAAGCTAATCTGGTTGCTAAATTGGTCGTTTGCAGCTGCATACCTCCCTGGAAGGACTGACGTCCAATGCTTGCATCGCTGGCAAAAGGTTTTAAATCCTGATCTTGTAAAGGGATCCTGGACAAAGGAGGTGACCTTCTAGTACACAGTTGCCTTTTTAATGTTCCACTTTGCGTTTTTTGACGTGGTTGCGGTCTGCTGCTCCAAATTAAACTTTATAGGAAGATGATTGCCTCGTTGAACTAGTCAGAAAGCATGGTGTCAAGAGATGGTCTGTTATTGCAAAATACTTACCAGGTCGTATTGGAAAGCAATGCCGAGAAAGGTAGGGAGCAGTAAACCTTTCTAAGTGTCCTTACATTTGTAGCAAATATATAATGGCTAATTTTGTAGATACTATGTTGTCTATTTGATGTATTACTATTGCTGAATATGCTGTGACCCAATGGCAACTTATGTGTGCAATTTTACTACTCTCGAACCATTTTTTGTAGCCTTTGCTGTTAGATTTTTGTGCTTGTAGTCTAACTCTATGCAACTGTTACTGACTTATCGAGAAGATATTTGAATCAAATTGATAATCTTCCATGCATATGTTAGATAACTTCAGGTATTATATTCGGGAGATAAATTGTTTGTTTCCTAGAAAATATGTTGGGTGAACTACTAGTTAATTAGTTATGATTTCAGGTGGCACAATCATCTTGATCCAGCTATAAAGAAGGATGCATGGACAGAGGAGGAGGAATTAACACTTGCTTACTATCACCAAATATACGGCAGTAAGTGGGCAGAAATTGCAAGGATTCTTCCTGGAAGGTACTTATCTGATAGACGATAGTATTACGCAGGCTCCAAAACATGCATAAATACAACTCTGACTTAAGTTCCCGATACTGTAAATACAAGTGACAAACCCTTAACAAGATATTAGTCTTGATCTTACAAAATGTCATTCACTTCGATTCCTTTTTACTACAGTTTTCACTGAAAATAAAAGAATTAAACTGCTGATTCCATTAAATCTGTACTCTAGTTATTGTAAAAATTTATTCACTTCAGTTCTTTTTCACTAACAGGGACTAAAGGGAATGATGTTTAGTAAAATAAAAGATCATCTTAAGAATTTTGTAAAATTAGGAAAGACTATAGCAAGAATTTTGTACGGTTAGAAATTAAAGTAATCTAACTTGTAATATCAAAAAAGGTTTATTTAATATTTAATGGTCGATTCTGGGAGAATAAGATATTAATTGAATATTTTTTTCGCGGTTTGCCCGAGTTTTCCTTTGTGCATCTCTCTTGGACTGTACTTGTCCTTGTCATCTCGCCTCTCCCTTGAAATAGCAAGGTAGACTAAGAAAAGTAGAACAATAATATGCATTTCTAAAGTTGTAACGTTTCTGTTATCTTATGACCCATGATAATTTTTTGTATCTTTCTGGTAAGCCAGGACTGACAATGCCATAAAGAATCATTGGAACTGCTCAATGAAGAAAAAACTGGATGCATCACCTCTTCGGTGCGACATAAATGTTGCCACTTCCAGTTTCTGCGCTTCTCGAATAAAGCCAACACCTAAAGTTGAGGATCAAAGTTTTAACAGAATAGTTTCTCTCGATCAGAGTCACTGGTCGAAGCACAGTGTTGATTACTTTTCAACAAAGTTGATTCTTCAAAATGCTGCCAGAGAAGAATGTTGCTATGAAAATGGCTGTTTTGAGGGGATAACTCCTATTGCCTCTAGACAAGGTGGTGAAAGTAGATTGGATAATTTACCAAATGAGATACTCACAGGTACATGTTACGAAGACCATGTCAACGCAGCCAACCCTACCTGCATAATTAAAAATATGGACTCGTTTCTGGAAAATTCTCTGGATATGCTTGCAACAAATTTGAGTTGTTTCCCTCTTGCCAGTGCTGTTACTTACAGTGCCTACAAATCTCCTAAACGACAAAAGGTATCTTTTTCAGATGCAGAGTTTATTGTGGGTGATGAATCTGACAGTCCCCGTTTGAGTTACTCAAAAACGATTAACCGTGAGAAGAAATGTCAATCTGTAAGGAGAAGCTACAACGAAATCAATAGCATGCCACATGATTCAGATGGCATGAGGGGTGAATATGCTTACTTTCCTGCTGAACTACCCCCGGGGGAAGATTTGGCGCCTCCCACAGAATTCAGTGAATGCCTAAGTCCAAAAACACCCATGACATACGCGGACAATAAAAGTCGCTGTTCTACTCCCCCAACGACTTTACTCAGGAGTTACATAGGCGACATCAGCCCAGAAACTGTGCTAAAAAGTTTAGCAATGACCTATAAGAATGTTCCTTCTATTATAAGGAAAAGGACTCCCAGGAAGGCAAGCTGTTGCGACAGTGACCAAGCACCTTCGGGAATGATCACATGTACTCCTGAAGCAGAAAATGTTATTGGCTTCGATAACTTAACACTGAATCAGGGGTTTATGCCATAGCTCTCGCTCTCGAAGGATGTATAGAATAACGGAATATGCTTGTGAATTGTAATATTTGACGTACCTGTAATGTCTAACACAGTTTTCTTTTAAGTAGTTAAATTTTATTCAATCTCGAATTAAATAATGAATGGGACAGGTTATTCGTGCGGCCTTCCCATCCTAGCGTTCTATTCAATCTCGAAGGATGCATAGAACGCTAATTTCTAACGACTCCTCCTGTCTTCTTTCCTTTTTTGTTTCTTGTTTTTCCCCTTTTTTTATGCCTGTTATCCTTTCGTTGGAATATAATGAATCTGAAAAAGACAGAATTGGGCCTTAACTATTGTTTTCTGGCCCTACCAGTTTTCTTTTGGGTATCTTTCATCTATAAAGAAACCAAAAGTGAATTTATCTATATGGCGGATCGTTCATCTAACAAATGAATACAAAAGGTCGTGGGCATCGTATCCGGCGGTCCACTTCCTTTTGCAATTTGCAGGAAACACGGTCCAAGAGGTTATGTAAGTTGACCCGAAACAAAAGAGATTGTGTAAGAACTGGAATGCACAAAAACTGAAAGTGTTCATCGATAAATCATCCAAACTTTTTCAAAGAACATGATTCTTGGGGTCCAGGATTTAAAAGTGTAGGCTTAAATATATTTTTAAATTTTTAAATTCTTCATTTTGATTTTTATAAATGTAAAAATAGTTTCTGTAACATGCTAGTTATGCTAGATCAACCGTTATGATGAGGTGAAATGTTGCACTATGTTTAAAAACATATCACATCGTAATAAGTGATGATAAAATTATTTTAAAATTTTAAAATTTATGAAAATTAAACTTAATAAAAAGAACTCCAAAAGAACTATATGAATAGGAAATAAATAACATAAAATATGGAAAGCAATAATCTTATATCAATAAATTTTCTTAAGCGAACCAGAATAAACCAAAAGAACTCCAGAATATCCTATTGCATCACTACTAAGCACGTACTTTTACCATGTCGGGTTCTCTACATTTCACGAATGTCTATCCCCCAAAGTAAATTTGTTTTTTTTTTATTAATAAATAATAGTAAATTTTAGTGGATGAAAATTACAAGGCACTTTAAAATAAAGAGCGTTGTGCTGTACGAAGATTTTTCATGCCAATCACTCACAACTCGACGTAAATTTTGTACTAGTTAAATAATAGGTTTAATTTTTAGAAAAAATTAAGTGAGGAATTGGCGGAAGTTAGGCCGTTTAGTTGGTATATTTGTTTCATCAAATTTCGATTTGCATTATCCAATATCTTCCTGAAATAGAATTCATGAAGGATACTTCTGACTTTTGAAACAAATTCATTTCAAAAGAGTCTTGTCCCATCGCAGGATACTGGATACCTCCTAAATAGCATGCTATTAATATTTTGTCAACTATTTTTTTTTTGTCAATTTAAGTCAGATTTTTTTTCAACTCTTATTTAAATCAATTGTAAATGCATCTAATATAATTTTAGACGGCAATAAAAATGTTAACAAACTTTAACGATTTGAACAACCAGAGACATATTTAATAATCCAACAATTAACATTCATTAAACATGTTTCCACTTACCTATAAAAAAAAATTATCTTATTAAAATCGAGGTATTTTTTAATAAAATAATATTATTAAATCTTAAAAATTGATCGATTTGAAACGTAGGGGAAAAAACACATAGCCGCTGGGAACAGCGGAATGATAGTGGCTGACGTGGGGCCTTGTCGTAAAAAAATTGGTAACACGTGTAAAACAGATAAGGCACAAATACGCTGGAGAAAATTAAAAGGCAGAAAACTACTGCGGAGTAATAAATAGAAATAAAAATTAATGATGAGAAAAGGAACGAAGGACAAGGAAGGTTCTGGAAAGCGGATTGTGAAACCAACGGTTGAAAGCCATATTCGGATGAAGCAGCGGCTCGATCCCAGCTGGGCCAAGCCCTCAACGCTTTCTTCTAGTGCCTTCTTTAGTTCTACTCCTTTGCGGGCCCCACCCTTCAATTTAACAATTTTCTTTTCTAATTTCCCTTTCATTCTCGAACACACGGACGCTCCTTTTCTTTCCTATCCTCTCCCTCTCTCCGAAACTTCTAGAAACGACAGGAACCTACTGTATCCCTCTTTCTTCTGCTGCATCCGCTTCCGACCGTGTTTCTGCTTTTCCCTCCGGTGGGCTAGAAAATCTGAATAACTCAACCCAATCCATCTCTATCAGATAGATCAAGGTAACCAAATGATATCACAAAATAATTCTTCTTCATTTATTAATATTATTATTATCATTATGTTTGACAATAGCACATTCTTCAATCAGGCTAATAACAAGAGAAACCAGGGTTAGCTAAGGATAGCTACACCGCACAAGGCTCTAGGCTAGAGATGTACTTTAATTGATGAGCCTCTAGCCTTCCTCCTTGGTTGATATCGCTTTCACAGTATATGTATTTTAATTGATGAAGCAAACTGTTGCGGTAAGGCATCAAATTAGAACAGTTAGGACAAATAGTTTTGTTTAGAAGCCGCTTTATGAAACTCTGAGGCAGACAAACGTGATTAGGCAGCTAGGTCGACTTCCAGATCTGGTAGCAAAGTTCATGGCGCCAATACCGGCGGAGCAAACCGGTGAATCAGCGCCCGCAGATTCGCAGAGATCCATTCCGACGCCATTTCTGACGAAAACGTACCAGCTCGTGGACGATTCCTCTGCAGATGACCTAATTTCCTGGAACGAAGATGGCACGAGCTTCATCGTTTGGCGACCCGCTGAATTCGCTCGAGATTTGCTTCCTAAGTACTTCAAACACAACAACTTCTCCAGTTTCGTCCGCCAGCTTAACACCTATGTAACCGTCCTGCTTTATTTTCTCTTCATTTCTTGGATTTTCTCAGCATCCAAACGGATTACCGGCGTGTTTTGTTCGCAGGGATTTCGGAAGGTTGTCCCTGACCGCTGGGAATTTGCTAACGACTGTTTCCGGCGAGGTGAGAAAGGTCTACTTCGGGACATACAGCGCCGGAAAATATTGCCGGCGGCGGCGACACCGGCAACAACAGCAGCGACAGCTAATACGGTAACGGTGGCTGTGGCCGCGCCGGCGGCGCCGGCGGTGTCCCCGACGACTTCCGGCGACGAACAGGTACTATCCTCGAACTCATCTCCGATTGCTGCGCATAATAGTAATACAGTGCACCGCACCACAAGTTGCACCACTGCGCCCGAGCTGTTAGAAGAGAATGAAAGGCTTAGGAAAGAGAACGTGCAACTGAGTCACGAGTTGAGTCAGTTGAAGGGTCTGTGTAATAACATACTCGCCTTGATGACCAACTATGCTTCTACTTTTAGTCGCCAGCAGTTAGAATCGTCCACTAGTGCGGTAAGGGCTATGCCTGTGCCTGAAGGGAAAGCGCTGGAGCTTTTGCCTGCAAAGCATGTTTCTGTAGCAGAGGAAGCGGTACATGTGGGAGGCGCTGCCGGTGCCGCACCCTGTGCGACTGCGAATGCGGAGGTTCCCAAGCTTTTTGGGGTCTCAATTGGGCTGAAACGATGTAGGACAGAGAGCGAGGCCGAAGCTGAGGAAGAAGAACAGAATCAAACGCAAACACGATCACAAACACAGACACAATCATCACAAGAACCTGATCCCGGGTCAGATGTGAAATCTGAACCGCTTGATGGTGATGACTCGGATGATCAGGACCATCGTTGGCTGGAGCTTGGGAAATAATGCTCCTTATACTAATTTGATGAAATGGCAAAAGCACGTGACTTGGGCGAGCACACCGCTATGCTATATACATTACAGTTGCGATGCACTGTTGGGCACTAGACACTACCATTGGGCCGTCACGTGACTTGGAAATTCCATGTTGCTGTATGTAACGTTGCAGAGTGAGTGGAAGGGGCGTTGTGTAAGATTATATATACATTTCTTGAGCGCCAAAAGTTGTATAAGAAAATAAATCTTGGTTGCTGTGGGTAAAGACTTGAAAGATTATCAACACGTCAATGTGTACTAACTGAAGCAAGGGAAGGGCGGCCTCCTAAAAAGATTCACATTTCGTTTATTGGTTGGAAGGTTTGTGCCTTTGTGGGCTACAGCAAAATATGTACATACTTGTATCTGACATAAATTATTTCGAATTTGCTTAATGTATTGTAATGTTTCCATCCATCCTTATGACCAATTTTGTTCCTAAGCTTCATAATTATAGTATGCTTTTTCTAATGAGATCCTGTAGGCTATCTAATACGTTTCTGGATTAGTTTATTTTGAATTATAATTTTTTTTAAAGTGTTTGAATTGTTTAAAAACTGTTCAATGTAAAATAACTAATGCAAACATGTTAAGCTAATTGAAGTGATGAGTAAGCGAATAAAAAGAATAGTATTATGGCAATTAATTAGAAAGTTAACAATTTAGATGTTAATAATTTTATATTATGTGTATGTATTTTAGTCTAATTGAAGTGTTAATTTTTATTAATTTTATAAATGCATATTTTATTTTCCAACGGGTAACCTTGGCTTTACTTTGAAAGAGCTAAATTCAAAATTCATTTTGGAAATTTCAGAAGAAGTTTAAGGCATACTTAAAGTTTTCTTCCTTTGAACAAGTATAAACAGTAGCCCATGTAATTTATATAATTTATGTGAATTTGTAGCTAAAGTGAAATTCATTTATGCAAATTGGTCGATTTAAAAATTGAATGATCGGCTTTTATTTTAAATTTGTCGATGCCTTTTGGACCATTTCTGATTTGTATTTTTGGTCTGAACCATTTCCGAGTTTCCAATCCAAAAATCTTCAGGTAAACCATTGGGCCGCTGATGGATTTCAAGTATGAAGAATCTTACGTAAGCAGCCACAATGACATGATATTCATGCTACCCAAAGAGGCCCCCCAAAAGAAGGCCCATAAAAGGATCCAAAATAATGCACATTATTTTTGTACAAGTCAATTAATTAAAGAAAATTGAAATCCATAAGTATCAATATTACATATTAAGTATGCAAAATCATCAAATATTTATTAGTCGCTAAATACTAATATTCTGAAAAAAAAAACGCTTACAAAATTAAATCTAACATTTTCCTTTCAATATTTTTTTATTTGGAAGTGAATATGATCTCATTAGTAAGCTCATGTCATTTAGTAAAATCAGTATGAATGTTGAAAGAGTGACGTTAACAATACATTTTTTCAGACACATTACTACTAACACTCCTCTTATTAAAATGTGTTTGTATGACACGTATGGTTATTTAGTAACATATGTTATTTCCTGTCCCTCTCCATGTGGGTGCGGCATGTGCCTTTGTTGCACGGTCTTTGGCGTTAACTATTTTTATTTTTTATTTTTTTTATAGCTCAAATAGCTTCCACACTAATTTTCAAGATCATGGTGTAACGATGTCGTCAAATATTTGGCCATCTGTCACATATCCTCTTTCCTTACTATTAAATTTGCACTTAATAAGGTGTGGGACAAAATATGTGATTATAACTTATTAATAAAGGTGAGTAATCTCCTTTTATGAATAAAGGGTAATTCCTTGTATATATCAATTAGGCAATAAAAATTGAATTCCTTCTGCTGGTGTTCTTCAAGTTAGTTTCTCTCATTTCTCAATGAGTTTCATCGGGTTATTAATTTTCGATATAAATTATAGTCTCTTAAAAATATGCGATTGATATTAATCTATGCACATATATTTAAAAATAATTTTTTTCACGCTATGAATTGTTACTTAGCATTGGGCTGACCTGCAGACATTCCAATTCCAAGTGCAAGAGGGGTTGGCATCCCCCTTAATTTTTCCGAACATCTGCCAATATTATCATGCTCCCCATTTTTTCTTATACTAATTCATTTTCCTTTTCATGTTATATCTCTTCACATTTTATCATGCACTGATTTAGAAGTTAAGTTTAGGAAAAGAGAAAAAGAGAAAGGAAGAAATAGAAAGAGTTGATTCTTATTTGCGAATTCCTTAATTATATATGAAAAATTTTAGAGTATTCTTAAATTCTTTAAAACTCTATTAACACTAATTTTTTGAATTCTTCTATAGAGATTTTTTTAGAAGTTTATTCTCTTTCACTCTTTCGTATTTTTTTACTTTTATGATTAAAATTTTTTTAAAAAAAATATTAATTTTTTAAATGATAATTTTTTAAAAAATTTATAAAAATTAAAATTAAAATTTTAAAATTATTAATTCTTAAAGAAAGAAAAATATTTTTTATAAAAATAAAAAATATAATAATATCATTTATATAATTAAATCTTCTCTCACTCTCTCCTTTTAATATTAAACATACAAATAAAAAAAAGTTTTAACCTTCTTCTCCTACTCCAAACTTTCAAATAAAGCCTAACTTATTTGTTCATAATAAACTCTATATTTAAAGAAAATTGAAACACACTCCCTTTCTACTTTCATGGAATTTGGAGGATGGTTCCTCTCCATACTTTTAACCATTAATTTATGCTTAGAAAATATGGATTGCAGCCTATATAGCAACTGATTAAAATGAGTTGAATCCGCTGTCATCAACAGACAATGAAAAGCAACCTCCACCGTTGCCTTGTCCCTTGCCAGCTGCGTCAGGCTTTCAACCAACCTCCATTAATCTCATCCTTCACCATGAAATTTGTTGGTTACCTTGTTGAAGACAACCACTAGAGATTGTTGCATTTCTCAGATTCTTTAGAGACACAAAGTGCAAGCAAAATTCAAAAGAAAAAAAAAATGAAAAAAAACTAATTAAGTTCATTTTATTTAATTAATTTGTGATTATTTTTCCTCAACTAACATGTAACCGAAAAAAACTAATCTTTGATAAAAAAAAAATTAATGAGTCATGTTTTGTTTTGTTATCTAAATTTTTATTGATTTTTGCTCTTACAGTTTTTAAAAATCATGAGGCATTAAGAATAATTTTTATTCACATCCCCTTAATTCATATAATTACATAAAAAAATTAAGTACAATTTGAAAAAAAAATTGACACCAATATAATTTTTTGGTACATAACAACACATCGTTATAAGTACAATTTTTTTTATCTTCTCATTCTGAAGTAGAAACAGGTGTGAAGTGTGCTTGATGAGTGATATAAGTCACTGTCTTTAAACTTAAAAGTCCCAGCATGCATTCGTGCCATACCCAAAAAATTAAAAGGATCATTTAATAGAAAGGTCGAGTTATTAGAAGAACCACATTTGACAATTTAAGAATGATTCAAGTTTGTAATATATAATAAAAGAAACATAATAGGATAATAATAGAGTCCACGTAACCATTATTTGTTTGATCTCCAAATAACAAAATATCTACGTATATAAATATATTATACTCTGTCTCGCTACTTTGTATCCACAGTGACTGAGCAACATAAGTTACTCATCTGTTGGGAAGAAATCAACATTTTTCAAGTTATAAATTTGTTCAAAAATATTTTTTCAAAAGATAATACAATGGTCAAGGGTTATTATTTCTTTTCAAAAAGTCTTATATTTAGTTAATTGATTTCGTAGCCTTAATTTCTAGTTGAAATAGATTTTTTAACAAAATATAAAATATGGCTAAAGAAATATTGATTTTTAGTGGACAGGAAAGTAAATTTTTTTACAAGTTTTTGGATAAATTATGATATATATATATATATAATTTTTTAGTTGAAATGAAAAAATATTTTGACGAGTTTTATAATAAATTAGTGGTCTAACAAACATAAATTTTTAGTTGACACGTAAGTAACTTTTTAACAATTTTTTTTTATAAATTATGGTCAAAGAAAAACATGATTTTTTCAGTTGAAATGAAGAGGCCTTTCCACAAGGTTCATAAAAATTGGTAACCTAAAAAATATATATTTTTAAATTAAAAAGGAATTAACATTTTTTATAGGTATTTATAAAATAATGGTCAAAGAAAATCAATGATTTCTAAATGAAAAGTAGGTGATTTTTTCAGAGTTTTCAAATAAATTATGCATAAAGAAAACAAGAAGTTTTAGTCAAAGCAAAAAGATATAAAATTTTAGTCAAAATAAATAAATATTTTTTACTAATTTTTATAATAAAGTTGTGATAAAAGAAACATGTTTTTCTTAGTCTAAAAGTAATGTTTTAGCAAGTTTTTGCGGATCCAAAAATGATTTGCAGATTAAATTGTAAAGGTATAAAAATGTTTAAGTTAGTCAATAAAATATGTTTCAAGATACTTTTAAAAATATTGCCTTTGTTAATTTTGGTAAAGAATTAGTCAAAAGACTACTATATCAAAATTTGGATCAATATATTAAGAGTGGTTATGAATAATTATAAATAAAGACACATAATAAATATCATCGATGACAATACAGCGAGTTTACAAGAACATATGTTAAACAGTTATATTATAGGATAAAAACATATATGTTAAGCACTTATATCGTAGGATAACGTACGTTAGATAGTTATATGGTATTGTATGTATAAATAGGATTTTAAAACATAATTTAAATCACAAATTTTACACGCAAACACTTAACACTTAAAATCTTTGCATTACCGAAATTTTAGGTTAGTTAAACCCAACAAATAAAAAATTAACAATTTTGTATTAATTATTTAAAAATTGTACGTTTCTATTCTACAATTTAATTTCAATTTGTTTGTTTGTTTTAATCATTCATTGTTTTACTTTAAATGTCACATTGCAATTTTTCTTTTTCTTTTTCTTTTTTTTTCTTATTTTCCACTTTCATTACGACGTTGTTAATCATTTTATTAAGAACTTCATAGAAAATTTATAAAGAAAATCTCAAATTAATCTTATATTATTCTTAAATTTATTTATTTACTAAAATTTGAACGAAAATAGTTCCACAGTGAGGATCCCTGATTTCATTGTTACTTGTACCCTCCTTTCAGCAGTAGCAGTAGCCGACTGATGGGAAGATGTAGTTATCCTCCGACGAACGCGGGATTGATGATTTCTTGTCGTTGAGGTGACGACAATTGGCGACGAGGCGCTGAGGTTGATATTTTGGTGAGTTTGAAGAGGCCATCCTTCATAGAATTCGCGGGTAGAATCAGAAAGGGGAATGTTACGATTCTTCCATCCAAGTGCTTCACAGACAAGTTGGACATCTTTTTCTCTTTCTTCTGTTCTCGAATCTGGATCTTCTGAAGTTTTAAAATGATATGCATTTTTTCAGTTTAAATTCATTT